GCTCGTGAGCCTTGAGATGGCGGGGCGCACAAGGGGCCCAAAGGCCATCCTATAGGGCCATTTGGGAGTCCCTGGGGCCCTAGGTGTAAGTCGGGCCTCTCCCTCTACAGGGGGAATATTCGAAAATAGTCAAACATAGTGTGGGGACCATTGTTTTGATTACTTGTTTTCCCTACATAGGCTCTGCCTAGAAGGGTTCTTACTCTCTTAGCTTAAAGGGCCGGGCAATGGAAATCGCCCCGTGCGGTTCCCCCAGTCCCCTGGGAGCGGTTCCCCCAGTCCCCTGAGAGCTGTAGCTTTAGCTTTAGCTTTAGCTTAGCTTCAGCTTAGCTTTAGCTTAGCTTCAGCTTAGCTTTAGCTTAGCTTTAGCTTAGCTTTAGCTTAGCTTCAGCTTAGCTTTAGCTTAGCTTTAGTTTAGCTGTAGCTTGGCTTTAGCTTAGCTTTACCTTAGCTTTACCTTAGCTTTAGCTTAGCTTTAGCTTAGCTTTAGCTTTAGCTTTGGCTTAGCTTTAGCGTAGCTTCAGCTTAGCTTTAGCTTAGCTTCAGCTTAGCTTCAGCTTAGCTTTAGCTTAGCTTTAGCTTAGCTGTACCTTAGCTGTACCTTAGCTTTAGCTTAGCTTTAGCTTAGCTGTACCTTAGCTTTAGCTTAGCTTTAGCTTAGATTTAGCTTAGATTTAGCTTAGCTTTAGCTTAGTTTTAGCTTAGCTTTAGCTTAGCCTTTACCGTAGATTTAGTTTAGCTTTAGCTTAGCTTTAATTTAGCCTGTACCGTAGCTTTATCTTAGCTTTAGCTTATCTGCACCTTAGCGTTAGCTCAGGTTTAGCTTAGCGGTAACTTAGCCTTAGCTTAGCCTTAGCTTAGCTTTAGCTTAGCTTTAGCTTAGCTTCATCTTAGCTTTAGCTTACCTTGAGCTTAGCTTAGCTTAGCTTTAGCTTAGCTTCAGCTTAGCTTTAGTTTAGTTTTAACTTAGCTTTAGCTTAGCTTTAGCTTTACTGTTCGTACTAATGCTGGTTTCCTAGGGGCTCCAACTCCTATGTAGGGTCGCACTGGGATAATTTACCATTCTGGAGCATGTTGGGGGTATGTTTTTGTTTTTCGTCCAAAATCCCCCTGCAGGAGGACAGGCCCGACTTAACCCTAGGTGGAGAGCCCCTAGGGCCTGAATCCCGGGGGGGTCGATGTTTTGAAAAACAAAAAAAAACGTCGGGGTCTGGGTAGGGGGAGGGTGGAGGCGTCTTAGAGGCACCCCTGCTTCTTAGAAGGCGCGGGCCTCATCTATAGATGTAGGACCAGCGCCTTCTCAGAAGTAGCTTCCTTCTAAGAAGCCTTCCGCCCTCACCCACCCCCCTTGCGCGCGCCGCCAATTGACTCGAAACAAAGATCCGCCAAGGTTGGTCAACAGCGACAGGCTACGTCATTTTAGCTCATCCAATGACGAATCTGAAGCTGCTGCCCGTGAGGCAGCTGCCCAGCTTGAGGCAGAAATCCAGCGTAGTGGTACATAGGATAGGTACCGCAAATCATCGCCTGATCCCCGGGTCGATGGGCGGTGACCTAGGAGGGGGGTGAAGACGGAGGCCCTGAAGGGGCCCTTTAGGACCCCTATTGGCTCCAGAAGGGGCCCTCAAGGGCCCCCTATTGGGGCCCGTTCTCCATTCCCTACCTAGAAGGGTTCTTACTCTCTTAGCTTAAAGGGGCCGGGCAGTGGAAAGCGCCCCGTGCGGTTCCCCCAGTCCCCTGGGAGCGGTTCCCCCCAGTCCCCTGGGAGCTTTAGCTTTAGCTTTAGCTTTAGCTTTAGCTTTAGCTTTAGCTTAGCTTTAGCTTAGCTTTAGCTTAGCTTTAGCTTAGCGTTAGCTCAGCTTTACCTTAGCTTGACCTTAGTTGTACCTTAGCTGTAGCTTAGCTTGACCTTAGTTGTACCTTAGCTGTAGCTTAGCTTTAGCTTAGCTTTAGCTTAGCTTCAGCTTAGTTTTAACTTAGCTTCAGCTTAGCTTTAACTTAGCTTTAGCTTAGTTTTAGCTTAGCTTTAGCTTAGCTTTAGCTTAGCTTCAGCTTAGCTTCAGCTTAGCTTTAGCTTAGCTTTAGCTTAGCTTTAGCTTAGCTTTAGCTTAGCTTTAGCTTAGCTTTAGCTTAGTTTTAGTTTAGCTTGAGCTTAGCTTTAGCCTTGTTTTAGCTTAGCTTTAGCTTAGCTTTCGTTCAGCTTTACTGTTACTACTAATGCTGCTTTCCTAGGGGCTCCATCTCCTAGGTAGGGTCGCACTGGGATAATTTCTTCCTGTTGCGGCCCCCCCCCCTTGGAACTCTGTATGTCACGCGCCGTTTGATCCGACGCGCGGCCTTCCGTCTTTAAGGAGGGCGCAGCGGCCACCAGGGCATTCGCCGCCTCGGACATCGGGTTTGCCGTGGGTTTGCCGTGGTGTCGGCTTCGCCGACCCGGGGCTCGTCGAGAACAAGCGGCGCGGCGACATGTTACCGGCGGGCCAGTGCAAGCGAGGCCCGACGTCACGAGAAGATCGGGGGACTGCGCAGGGCGCTGCAGAGAGGGCCGCGCCTTCGCGGCAGCCCCCGGCTTCGGCGGAGGGCTGGTGTGAGGTAAAGTGGCGGCGGAAGGCGGATTGTCCCTGACCAGGAGCCCTGAGACAGGGGTCAATGCAAACGGGGATCAGCCAGAGCGCCGGATCTGGCAAGATCCTGCAGGGCCAGGGGTGCACTGACCCAGGCTGGCGCGCAGGATGTGGCTCAGGAGAGGAAAAAACACACAGACACAATGAGTCGTCGATTCCCATGGAAGTATCAGAAAGTATGGGCAGTCCTGCATCGGAATCTATACGAAGATATAGGGAGCCCTGCAGGCTCTTGCAGGATCCTGCAAAGCCTGACTGGCCCGAGTTTGCATCGATCCTGGTCGGTGCGCCCCCGAAGCAGGCGCGTGCGCCGTCTCGACGCGGCAGTCCTCGGCCTCTGTCCCCACAGGTTTTCGCACGTTTCCGAGGGTTCCCCGAGGTCTGCGAGCCTCGGGGTGCTTCTCAGAGGCTGCGCCTCGTCGAGGGCGTTCCGGGGGTGCCCAGATCGACCCGAAGGGCCGCTGGAGGCCAGAGTTATAACCCGACCTCCCCCCCCCGACTTCGCATCCGCCGTGCACTGGGCGTCTGAGAACAAGGCGGACAGTTTCGCACGCCTTTTCGAGCTTCTGTGCTGTCGATGTCCAGCCTGCCTTGCCGTCGCTGTGTCCGCCGTACCCCTGCTTTCCGACCAACTTGTTTCGCAGGGGGTGCGTCTGCGACACAAGGGTCAGCCGAAGGATCAGCCAAAGCACGGCGGATCTGAAAGGGCCGGGGTGGCCCCAGCGCGGGCTGAACCCAAGCCTCCGACGATGTGACTGCTTCAGTTCCTTCGAGTCGGTTTCGCTGGGAACCGTTTTCGGGCCCCGGGAATTTCACAAATATTGACCCGGGGCGTCGAGCCATCCCCAGGGAAGACGTCGGGGGCTGCGGACGGACAAAAGTCAGAGCGGAGGTCCAGTGGACGGGCCGAGGAGTGGTGCGTGTGTCTTCCTGGCCAGGCCAGGAGTGCGTCTGCACCGCTCCCGGGCTCGGGACGGGCCCGGCCAGGATCGGAGCCGGTGGGTAGCTGGCGCCCTCCTGCAGCCTCCCAGCCTGCCTGCGACGCAGTCCTCTACCTCGCCACAGGTCCCGAGGGCCCGCCAAGCAGGCTGCATGAAGAGAAGCTGGAGGGCCGCGCGGGCTTCTTGGGTTCAGCGCAGCGCCAGCCTCGGTCACGCTGCACGCTCCCAGCTATAAAGGGGTGTGGAGGGAGGGTCCAGCGCCGACCCAAGGCATCCGCACGGACCTCGGAGATGTTTCGGATTGCGCACAGAAAGCCCCCCCCCGATAATTAGTCCCGGCTGACTTCAGCAGCCCTCCCCGAGCAGCACCACCTGGCCTCAGCAGGCCCCCCGAGTAGTCCAGGGCGGTCTCAACACCCACGCGGGAGACGGTGCCTGCAGGGTCCGCCGATACCCCAGGTCATCGGGCCCGCCCCCCCCCCCCTCGATAACCCGATTGTGTCGGCTGCGCAGTCCGAAGGGGGGACGCAGTGTTGGTGAGCGCGTGCATGCGTGGGGCTGCCACAACTCGAAGAGGTTCGGCTTCCGGCTGGCACCGCCCTCCCCCACTCGGGCCGGACGAAAGGGGGGGATTGGGAAAGGGGGGGTACGAAATTTGCTGCATGCAGCTGGTTTCGGCCCCGCCGAGGGTCCCATTCCTCGATACGTGGGCGCCTCCCGGCGCCGGGAGGCGCCGGGAAAATCGGCGACGCGAGCTGATTCTCAAACCCCCCTTTTGCTATCCCCCCCTTTCGCCTGGCCCGACCCCACCCCACCGGGCAGCCCGGGCCATCGCCGAAAAAATGACAAACCATCTTTTTCGGGCGCCTCCCTGGCGGCGCCACTGGTGGGGCGCTCACCGCGCCCCATGGATTGAGGTGTGTGTGTGTTGGACAAGAGGAGCCTGGGACTACACTTGAAAAGGAGGGGGGGGAGGAGGAGGAGGAGGAGGAGGAGGAGGAGGAGGAGGCGGAGAGGGAGGAGGAGGAGGAGAAGGAGGAGGGGAAGGAGGAGGGAGGAGGGAGGAGGAGAGCGAGGTAGAGGATGAGGTGGAGGAAGGAGAGGAAGGAGGGGAGGAGGATGAGGAGGAGGAGGAGGAGCGGAGAGCAGGAGGAGGTAGGAGGAGGATCAGAAGGGGGGAGGAGGACGGATTTAATGATGATATCCGATGTTGATGCTTGATGTTGATGATGATGATGATGATGATGATGGATGATGATGATGATGATGATGATGAGGATGATGGTGGTGGTGGTGATGATGATGTAGAATGATGATGAGGAGGAGGAGGAGGAGGAGGAGGAGGAGGAGAAGGAGGAGGAGGGAGGAGGAGGAGGGAGGAGGAGGAGGAGGAGGAGGAGGAGGAGGAGGAGGAGGAGGGGGAGGGGGAGGAGGAGGGCATGTGAACAGGCCAGGCTTGGCCCCACTTGTCCGCCGCCTCGTGTGAGCTCTGGGCCGATCTGTGGCGGCTCCGGGCCCCGAGGCTGGCGAGCGCGCCGGGTTCGACGACCACGTGGGGCGTGCCAAGAATGGCCTTGCCTTCGAGGATCGAACCCAGAGATCCAACGTCCTGACAAAATCGCGACGGAGTTTTTTCGCAGTTTTCGGCCTCTAGAGGCCGTCGCCGGGCCCCGGGACCGTCAGAAAACGACTCGGGATGAGAAACCGGTCCTGGGGAGTGGGTCGAGACTTCCGGGGACCCTGTCTTGAAAAAATCACGACGTCGGATCTCTGGGAAGGAGTTGTCATCGCTTCCGCGGCGGAGGGGCGGCGGAAGTGAGACGAGGCCGCCTCCGCGGGCGGAAGCCGGCGAAGGGGCGGCGGAAGGCGGCGGATGTAGAAAGCACGACCCCAAGAGATGAAAACGTTTTTGGGTTCAGGGTTTCCGTAATCGCCCATGTGGCGCCTTGGTCTCTGGACAGGTCTTCGGGCAGGTCGCGGGGAAGCGGGAGTTCATCAACAAGAAGGCGTTCGCCATGATCTACAGGTCGGCGACGCCCACAGGGGGACGGCGCGACGGGGGGTCGGCCTTCTGAGAAGGCGGGGGGGCTTCTTAGAAGGCAGGGGGCATTGTTCCCCCTGCTTCCTTGGACGCCCCTCCGACGTCTTAGAATCCCAACCCCTTACAGTCGGACCGAGGTATAGGATCGAGGTCGGTTCGGGGAGGGTGCCCTGATGCTCTTCGTGCTTGTCGGATGCTCTTGTGCACCCTGGGGAGGGTACCCTTGGATGTGCTGTGTGTTTTGGCCGGCGGATGGTCTCATGTTCTCGAGGGGTGTTCTTCTGGCCTGGGTCCGACTGCACCCTAGACCCCCAGCGTTGTGATTGGTTCAAATCGTCGGCCCCGCAGGTCCCGACCCATTCCTGGGGACCCGCTTTCCATCCCGAGTCGCTGTGCTGACGGCCCCCGGGGGGGCCAGCGAGGACGCCCAGAGGCGGAGCATCGCGAGACGTTTGCCGTGATACAGTGCCGTTTTTAGTGCATGCTCCGCGTGCGGATCATGCATCAAAAAGCAATGGATTTAGTATCAAAAGCAAGCATACATGTATGCATTGATTTATCCGTGAACTCATCCTGCATCACAAATCCTACAGTTTAAACAAAAAATCCGATGTGTGAGGAACTGCCCTGCAGTTCTTCATGGCGCGAGAGGGTCACTAGCTTCCAGGGTCTGGTGGTTCTCGGGTCCTGCTTCGGGCCCGCGAGGCCTGCCGAGGGGCCGCACGGCGCGGGCCGGGGCACTCCCGGAGAGCGGTCGGCGGGGCGCAGGCCGCCTGAGAAGCATCCCGGGCATGGAAGACCTCCTGGGAACCACAGGTCGGCGGCGAGCGAGGGGGGGAATCGAGAAGGAGAAGGCCTTCTCAGAAGGCGGCGGGACTTCTCAGAGGCCCTCGCGGCTTCTGAGAAGCTGCCTCCGCCTTCGGGGAAGGCTGAGAAAACCTCTGAGAAGTCCGGGGGACTCCCGAGCCCCTGAGAAGGCACGCCCCTTCTCACTTCCCCCCCTGGCTCGCCGCCTAACAGGAGGCGCCCGGGAACCTCGGAGCCATCGCGACTTGTGCACGATGCAAGGGGCTCTGGGCTGCAGGTCGGGTGCTGACAGTGGGCATTTCCTGGACTCCCAGATCCCCATCTACTTTGGGCGCCCTCCTGCTTCCACGCTCGAGTGGCTTCCCCTCCTCCTTCCTCTCCTGAGGGCGGGCGGAAGCCTTCCTCCTCCTCCTTTCCTCCTCCTCCTCCTCCTCCTCTCCTCCTCCTCCTTCCTCCTCCCCCTTTCCTCCTCCTCCTCCTCCTTCCTCTCCTCCTCCTTCCCTCCTCCGTCAACACCTTCCTGCGTCATGTTTCTGCCCGCCTCTTCCGACCGACGGTTCGACGGCGCCTCGAGACAGGTTCGACGGCGACTACGCGATCGACGGGAGGCCGCTGCTTCTCGCCGTCGACCCGGTGGACTCCCAGCGGTCCTTCCTGGCCACGGGCCTCCGCGTCTGGGACGGCGGCATTGCCGGGGCCCCAGACCGCAGACATGACCTCCTCCTCCTCCTCCTCCTCCTCCTCCTCCTCCTCCTCCTCCTCCCTCCTGGCTCCCTCCTCCCCTCCTCCTCCTCCTCCTGGCTCCTCCTCCTCCTCCTCCTCCTCCTCCTCCTGGCTCCTCCTCCTCCTCCTGGCTCCTCCTCACTCCTCCTCCTCCTGGCTCCTCCTCCTCCTCCTGGCTTCCTCCTCCCTCCTCTCCTCCTCCTCCTCCTCCTCCTCCTCCTCCTCTCCTCCTCCTGGCTCCCTCTCCTCCTCCTGGCTCCTCCTCCTCCTCCTCCTCCTCCTCCTCCTCCTGGCTTCCTCCTCCTCCTCTCCTCCTCCTCCTCCTCCTCCTCTGCTCCTCCCCTCCCCCTGCCCTGTCCTCCCCTCGTCCTGGGCACAACCGGGCGAGCGGCAGAGTCTGTCGCTCGTCCAGCCACAGATGCCGCACTGGCCTAGGGCGCCTTTCTCCTCCTCCTCCACCCTCTCTCCTCCTCCTCCTCCTCCTCCTCCTCCTCCCCTCCTCCTCCTCCTCCTCCTCTTCCTCCTCCTCCTCCTCCTCCTCCTCCTCCTCCTCCTCCTCCTGCGCTCGTCGCCAGGGAGGAAGCCCAGATCCCCTCGAGGGGGCGAGAGGGTCGAGGATCAAGGGTCGAGGATCGAGGGTCGAGGGTCGAGGATCGAGGGTCGAGGGTCGAGGGTCGAGGAGGGCGAGGATCGCGGGTCGAGGAGCGAGGGTCGCGGGGCGAGGTTCCAGGGAGCACAGGTCCAGGATCGTGGCTTCTCGGAGCCCCTCGTGCTTTCAGGGCCTCTGGAGGCCTCCGCAGCCAGGACCCCTCGAGCCACGAAGCAGGCACGGCGGGAGGCGTGTCGCTATTTTCTGCTTCTGGGGGGGCCTCACCGGCCCTCGGGACCTCAGCCACGCGCAGAGGGGGGTGGGGGCAGGGGGAAGGGCTTCTTAGAAGCACCCCTGCTTCTTAGAAGGCGCGGGCCTTATCTGTAGATGTAAGGCCGGCGCCTTCTAAGAAGCAGCCCGCTTCTGAGAAGCCCTCCCCCCTGCCCCCACCCCCGTGTGCGCGCCGCCAAGGACCGTCGAAAAACAACTCAGGATGAAGCACAGGGCAGGGGTGGAGACCTCGTCGACGCGCAATCACGACGTCGGGGGTCTGGACCCCTCCGCGTCGAGGAATGAGCACGGCCCTGACTTTGGATCAGCCGTATCTGGGCGGTTTTTCGTACTTCCAATCTTGTGTGTGGGGGGAATGCGCGCCAGACGGCGCGAAACGTTGGGGCGGAGATTCCCGCCTGAGACAAACAGGGCGGATGTCTTTGCAATAGTATGATGGAGGCAGCGACGGCAAAGCAGGACGTAGACCAGCAACAAAGGAGCTTGAGCAGTACGGCGGAATTGTCGCCCCACTGACGATCGAAGTCGCCTGACTGTGCGGCGGATCCGAACTCAGGGAACCCACCGCGTCGTAAAGCAATTCGACACATCGAGCGGCCTTCGGCCCATCCCGCAACTGCGTCTGGGCTGTAGGTCAGAGGCTTCTTGGATGCCTGCTAGGATCTCTCGAGATGCCTCTCGGAGGCAGCTCGGAGGCAGGTTGGGCGTGCCCTAGGACCCCTCGGGGGCCTCCAGAGGCCTCCTCTTGTGTCTCGTTGGCACCGCTCGGACGTGTGCATGTTTTGGTGAGGTCCATAGTAAAGCATCCTGGATCATCGAGCAAGAGGCAGGCACGCACGAAGCCGACACATGCACGGGGAATGGACGTCCGAGCCATGGCGGGTCTTGTGATGTTCCAACCTACTTTAGCCTTGATCACCAGAATGAGTTTCGAGCACCAAAAGATACCGAATCTCGAGGGTTTTCACGTGTCGGGCCCTGGGAGACACTCGCCCAACCCTGCTTCGACACTCGTTCGACACGTTTCGGGGTGCTCGAAGTCGTTCCTGGGATGTGGTCTTGAAGTACGCTGGGAGCAGCACAGGGCGAGCCTCGTGAAGTCAGACCGCCTCGCGCCGCGAAAGAAGAGGCAGCGCATTCCGGGAGCGCATCGTCGGAGATCCGGGGGCGGCTTGGCGGCCGCTGCCTGGGCAGGGCCGCTTCGCTCGCTGCTCCCTGGCAGCTCCTCCCGCCGCGCGCTGCGGCCCGATCTCCTCCCCTTGCCCTCTCGGGCCTCCTGCCGGGCAGGTTCGGATGCAGCTCCTGGGAGGTCGAATTCAGATTCGGCCCTGGCCCGAAACCGAGGAGGAGGAGGAGGAGGAGGAGGAGGAGGAGGAGGAGGAGGATGAGGGGGCGGAGGAGGAGGAGGGGGGAGGAGGGAGGAGGAGGG